ATATTTTAATTTTGTTAATTATGTTAATTTATATTTATGTAGTTATATATAGATAAATAAATTTACTGTTTGAATATGATAACTAATAAAAGTTTACTAGTTTCAGGAAATCAAATATTTTCAGCAAACTGCAGCATTTAACATCATGTGGCTTGTGACAAACCTTATCCTCACGTGGCTCTTGCAACTCCAATTTGTCATAGCGACAGACAGTATTGAAACGAATAATGTTAATACATGTGACCTACCAAAGAGTTTAGTGCAAGAACTAGAGTCATACAAACCATTTGTTCAGGCTATAATAAACGAAACTACATTGGGATCTTTCAAAGGGACCACGTGGAAAGAATTAGCTTACTTTGTCGATAAGTTTGGCCCTAGATTAAGTGGTTCTGCAGCACTGGAACGTTCCATTGACTATGTCCTAAATAAGTCAACAGAGTTTGGATTGGAAAACGTCCATGGTGAACCTGTTTCTGTACCACATTGGATTAGGTAAAATTAAGTAATTTAATAATTGAAAGCATGATTAAAAATGCTTCCTAAGAAGCTGTAACAAAAAAGCGAATAAAATTAATCTAATTAAGGATCGTTTCATTGCCGAAACAAAAAATGGTTTCGTAATTAGCGTCACTTGAATTACATTTTTGCAAAGTTGTAGATTTTTTGGAATTTACGGGATACCGAACTTTCCTTATTAGAAGATAAGTTTCTCAGTATCTATAATACATTACATAAATATATTAAATATTAAAATATTTAAAGAATCAGCGACCCTTCTAAGACCAAGACGTAAAAATATTGCTCTTTTGGGATTAGGTACCAGTGTCGATACTCCGCCTAATGGAATAACCGCAAAAGTTATTGTTGTGAATGATTTTAAGGAACTTGATGACAGAAGACATGAAGTAAACATCTTTAAGAATTTCTATATAAAAGTTATTTTTTATTTTAATTGATTGGAATTTCTAACATTTTTCTTATATTTTTAGGTGCCTGGAAAGATTGTTGTATTTAATGAAAAATTTATTTCATATGGTGAAACGGTAAAATATAGAGGTAATGGAGCAACAGAGGCATCGAAATACGGGGCTGTTGCTGCTTTAATCAGATCGGTTACACCATATTCGTTGTATACACCACACACTGGTATGCAAAGATATGGAGTAAATGTAACTAAAATTCCGGTAGCTTGTATTACAGCTGAAGATGCAAGCTTGTTGAGAAGAATGTCAGATAGAGGTAAATATCATGTAAATGTTTGGTAGTAACAATAACGTTTACTGTTTTAGTTTTTCAGATGAAATCATAGTGGTCAATTTAAAGATGCAAGCGAAAAATTTGCCAGATACAATATCGCGAAATGCAATAGCTGAGATAAAAGGATCTACGATGCCAGAGAAAGTAGTGATTATATCTGGCCACATTGATAGCTGGGACGTTGGTCAAGGAGCAATGGATGACGGAGGTGGCGCATTTATTTCATGGCAAGCTCTAAAATTATTGAAACACCTTAACTTTAAACCACGTCGAACAGTAAGGTGAGGGGGAAGTTAATATACAAGGTGGGACACCCTATATAGGTGCCCCATAAAACACTTTGTAGTATAGAAATCCAGTGAATATTTACTCTATTATGAATTAACAATGTTACGAAGAAGAAATAATATTTTAAATTAAAATTGTATTTTTATTTTTTTAAGGTCAAAAGTAATTAATTTCATATTATATTGGAAAATGTAAATGTGTGTAAAATATAAAATTAATTAAAATTATAGAATGATCTTTTGGACAGCCGAAGAATTTGGATATGTAGGAGCAAAGTATTATATCAAGTCTCACAAATCTGAGGAGAAAAATTTGCAATTTGTAATGGAATCAGATGCGGGCACATTTATGCCTTTAGGTCTGCAGATTACTGGAACGGAAAAAGTTCAATGCATCGTAGAATCAATTATGAAGTTAGTGTGTGAAATAAGATTCAACAAAAATGCTATTGATACAATTATCTTACTTTTTCTTTATTTTTTTTACTTTTTAGGCTCTTGTCTTCAATGGGAGAGTTGAACGTAAGTCAACCAAGCGAGGGACCTGATATTTCTGCTTGGATAGATGCAGGTGTACCAGGAGGATCTCTTTGGAATCAAAACGAAAAATATTTTAATTATCATCATACGAATGCAGATACTATGTTAGTTGAAGATCCAATAGCTCTGGACAGGGGAACAGCTCTGTTTGCAGCAGCAGCATATGTGCTTGCAGACCTTAGTAGTGATCTGCCACGACACAAATGACTTATTTAATCATAAATATTATTAATACAGACAATAGTTATAAAATAAAAATATTGGTATCCATCAATCAATGATATAAAATAATTTCATTACAGTTATTTTTTTATCAAATTTTGTTAAATAAAAAGACTCAAATTGTTCCACAAACTTCCTGTGTTGCCAATCTTCGTTTCACCATCTCAATAGAATGAAACTATGAATGATTGAAATTATGAAATTTGCATTTGAATAATAGCATTTTAAGAGTAAGGAAACAATACATTATGATGTTCACAAAGTATTATTGTGTCAAATATACTCATTTTTACAGTGAATCAATATAAATAAATACTTAGGCCTAGTTGTTCAAGTGGTCGCATTTTTTTTATGTTTGTTAAGGTATTACAAAGTATTCTGTGGTTACGAAGCTAGGCTCTCAACACACGTAACTTTAATTGGTCTTTCCGGTGAACGTTACTGAAACATTATTGAAAGTTCTGAACACCGTGTTAGATCATTTTATTAACTCACAGTTGTTCTACATTACAAAAATTCTCTACGTTATTATTATCTTGGACTAAACCTTTAACTGCTAACATTATTTTCCATAATTAACGGCGTACACCGTTTATGTTTATTTACATAAGAAACATATTAGGGCGGTTGAAAAAAAACAAAAAGAATGTGAATATGAATACATTAACTTTTGGTGGAGTTATGATTACTTGAATTCAGACGACGAAATCCGACAGAATTTTCCAAACGACATAATAGTATAGTCGATAAATCCGATATAATGTAAGTCGTAAAATCAGTCAGGCGTCAAGGTACACGTAATCTGAGTCTCAAAACAGCAATTCGAGAGAGATAAGGATCTCAAATTTTGCTCAGAGTATATTTAATTAATTTAGGTATGTTTAAGGTAAAATAACGATATATTTAAAAAATTTGTCTGCGTCTTAATCGTTAACAGTTGCACGTTCATTTTTACCAATACGAGAATTACTACTGGGCAGAAGGCAACGGAGGTTTAATACTGTACTGTATCGTAAATGAAAGATTATAAGCAGAAATTTTAAATATCAATTAACAAATGACGTGTTGCCTTAATGCTTTAATTTGCAACCTCGCTGCATCGTTTCCACCAATTATACTCTCCTTCTCTTAATATTTAAAAGTACTTCTAAAGAAAGTGCTATAAATTCAAATGAACAGAATTCAGTTGTTAAATAATATTCACAAGTAGATATGTACTGAAACTTTCTGTTAGCAGTTAAAGGTTATTGACGCTTGAATCAGTCTCGTCATAATATACATTGACTGTTTTTTCTTCACCTATATCAACGTGTCTTCATCTTGGTTCGGAAAAACCATTAACAGGGAATGTTGAGAGGTCCGTCTTTGACTAGAAATTAACAATGCAGTTTTCTCTCCTCCGCTTCCATTAATAGAGCAATCCGGTGAACTTCCTTCGAAAACATGAGTCGTAGTACTACTAGTCGATGGCATATTATTGCTGCTTTCTAGTGATACCAATTGCATACTGTACGACTCACGGTAGCCAGACGTACTGGATGTATCATCATCCGACGTTGGAAGATAAAGATGATGAAGATAGGGATAATGATGATGGTGGTGATGATGAATGGTACTATGCATTTGTTGCTGATCGTTTGATATATTACTGCCCTTTTCGCAATCTGATTGACGAATCGACGAACTTGCTTGTATCGGAGGTGTTATAATTGATGGCTGGGTTGTTTGTGCTTGTGGCACATCACTTTGTTGTGATTTCACTGGCGCTGCCTGAAAAACAAATTTCCCGTTGTTTGATACATATTCCCAAATAGCACACAGACGTCTAGCGTTACAGTTCGAAATATCTTTGAAACGTTGCGATTTTTAAGGTTATGAAAGTGTGGTTACTTCTACGTGTGCTCTTCGACTCTTTCTCAATCGAAAAGTCTTCTTGCTTTGACCTATAGAGCGTTGTAATCGAGGCTTGTCTGGGCGGGATTCGCCTGAACTGTCCTCGTTTGGACTGGTTGGACTGAGTTGGCTCGTCACGATTTCCCCTGATGAAACAATATGCAATTAAAACTCTCTTTTTTATTTAAATACTACTCTCCATTCTATAATCTATCCATGCTGCTCTTTCAAAGCGATAAATACCAAATTGACGTATTTTTCGAATTTAGAACCACGTCGTCATTGTAGTATCGATATTGTGGCTCGGTTTAAATTGTGATCATTTCAATGCTGAAGTGTGCGTACAAAATTTTATAAATTTTATTAAAATTGTTTTTATATTTCTGTTTATTATTAACAAATGTAACTAACTAATGCTTCAAACGTCAACTTGACGCTGTTCCCGCCCCCGCGTTAATTCGAAAAAATACCATTATGAATTTTTCCCCATAAATAGGTAGATATCGTTGAAATAAATAAGCTTGGATGGACTGTAGAAGAGCGAGCATCTGGTAATTGGGCAATGCACAAATGAAAAGAAAGAAAAGAAAAGAAGGGGATATAGAACATACTTTTCAATAACATTTTTGTATAAAATATGCATAGTGTTTCTTTGATAGTGAATGTTTGAAGTATTTTTATTGTCTGAAGACTGTTTGAAAATATTTGGACACAGAAATAGTATACTTTAGAAGCATGAATCTCATAATCAGCGAAAGAATATTTATAAAAGTCTTGACTAAAATCATTTAACAATGTATTGAAAAATAATAAGTGACAACTGATTTACAACAAACGAATACATTTATCAAGGAAATAAGTGCATAAAAAATGTTCTTATATTTTACACTTATAGCAATAATACATAAGTACTTACTGAGCTTTTGTTTCTTTTTTTTATTTTGTCCAATTTAGTTTAATATCAGTGTAATATAATTATTCCAACAGAAATACAACTATAGTTAGATTCGATTGAATTAACAATGAAAAATCATTTCTCGTATTTATTACGATTTTTGGAAATATATCGAAAATCATTTTGCAACAATCTGCTAAATTCCACAGTGATCAAAAATATAACACATAAAAGTGTGTCAGATGATTTCTAGTTTTTTAAAACTACGATATCTTTATCAAGACACAAAATATTTTATTCAGAAAATCGTGTTTTCACATTTCTACCACCGTATCGCTGAAGTATTAAAATTTTCCTAAAACAAACATTTGTGACAGTATCGGTACTTTCCCTAAACTCTCGAGACACTCTGCAACTGTGTTCTAATTTCTGTAAAATTTCGAACAATTGATACTGTTTTCACAAACCTGATAATGCGGATTCTGTAATCAATCGCAACTACAACTGATTTGTCAAGAACAGAGGCGCGAAATTTACCTAATTTACCTGACCTAAACTCTATAAGAAGATACAAAGCACAGTTTCAACGCCTTTTCATAATTTAACATAGGACGAGGCTTTACATGGTTACGTTCATCACTAGTAGAAGATGGTTGGGATCAATCTGAAACATGCTACATTCAGCGTCTAGAATGAAGGGAGATGAGTCAAACCAGGTGACCGTGTTATCGTTGAAACATCACTTACGATACTTGAATTCGATCGAATCACTGGAATTTATAGTTACGCATTTGCAGTACTATTGTCTCGTACAAACAACTCGATATACAGAAAGCTTTATCAGTGGAAAATTCAAAACGAACGAAACAGGTGTTATTGATACAGGTATATTGTATAGAATAAGTGTAGTTATATTTCTCTCTTCAAGACTCTTGTCGTAACTGTTCGAATTATAGAAGAATTGTGAACGAATGTCTTTTAAACAAAACAGGAGTTTCATTCAGAAAGGAGGAAAACAATACTGATAGAAAAGTACTATGAAATTTGTGCAGAGTACTTAAGCGCAAGCACACGCAGACATAAGTTGTATACAGTAAACCTCCGTATAAAACCGTACTCGTTTAACACGCAATCGTGTAACGCGATGGAAAAATTGCTATAGTACTCGTGTAACATGATCAATCAGTCTCATGTGAAAGTTAAGATAAGGGTATTTTGCACACTGTGTATTGTATGCATAAACCCTTTTTTCTTTGTTATATTCGTTGATGCAGTAAGAGTATCTGTCCATCTGAGAGTCTTTTAAAGAGATAGTTACTCTCGAGAGTACTCTCAATAGTGTGTCCAGCTCTTCGCTAGTACTCTCAATACTATCTGCTGTGCGGTGCTCAGGAGTTTGCCCTCAGGGCAGCCCAGGGGCAAAAAGGGCAATTTGCCCGCAACTCTCGAATCTTTCGTTTAACGTGAAAGTGGTGTAAGTGAAAAAAATTCGAATTCTGGATAATAAGGGATAAAGTAGAAGTTCTGTAAAAGAGAGAGCAACTTGCGATAGTTTTTCTCTCAAATGGACAGATACCCTAACACTCAGGTTCGATGCGGCATTTTACGTTCCTCGATTTGGACTGAATCATAACTGAGACATCTTTCGTGTGACTTTGACCGAGATTTCGAGCCCTTATCTTCTCTGATTTCTCTCGTATAATTTCTAAACGTACAAACTTCAACACCTGACCGATTTTACCGGACCTCTCTATATTTCTTCCATCGACTATACATTTTCGGCCTTGATCTCTCTCTCGTATCGTACTGCGCTACTCACGTCGTTGTGCAACGATAATCGCGACAATTGTTGAACAAGATAGTTGCAATTGCTTGTTACTAGTTTGACGTGCCTAGCAATGACTGTAACCCACATGACTCATATAACGCGGGATATATTCCCTGTATTATATGGGGATCTACTGTATATCCTTGAGTGTTGTAAAGAAAATTACTGTGTTAGTTTGTACGAAGAAGAATTAATTTCCGATTGCTAAAAGTGATTGTGTGAAGAAGTAAGAAAGGGAAAGCAAAAAGAGTCATGGCAACTACGTTTTAATGAAGTATAACTACATGGCGACGAACATGGTACCAACTGTTGGACATTACCATTGTCTAAATACTGCTATATGTATATATAAACAAAGTGGACAATGTAACTTGATCACCTTAATTATTTCCTTT